GTGGGTATTCTCGGAGAAGAGTATAGAATAGTATTCAAGTTAGCCAGTGTGGCTCATTTCCCTATCAGTATTTAAAACAATCCTGGAAATGATGTGTGCTTACACCATAGCTAACATAGTTTATTGAGAGAATAATGCAATTGACCCATTATGTAGTACTTACCAAGGTAAAATTCTCCCTTTTTGTCTCAGCAGCAGGAATTAAAAGTGATTCATAAAGAGCGCACACAATCACCATGTAAATTGGAGCCACATTAAGATCACAGTCATTTTATGTTGTTTTCTTTAATGCTTTTCATTTGGCCCATCTATTCAGTTCACAGTGTGCAGGAGAGCTGCTGGTTGTGATTCAGAGAAGATTAGAGACTCTCTAAATGGTGTTATAGAGAAACGGAGCAGAATGGCTCCATTAATTTTTTTGTGGGCAGTGTTTTTGTTGGTGGTGCTGATATTTTTCCCTCTATGAGAATAACTATTTACCTGTTGTAATGTATAGCAGTGGTGAATCCAAAGGCATACTCCCTGCCTACTGTGTGTGGTCTCTTTCTGTAACACAAGCCTGAACACACTGTTTCCTGATTAATAACTTTCAGTGGTTCTGATTAGACAGGTCTCTTGGTTGAACTGACAGAAACTAATGGGGCCATTGAGGAATTCCAAACAGGCAGGTGACAGGAATGCATTAGCATGCCAGCAAGGATCACTCTGACAGGACCTTTGTGATTTAGAAGGTAGGGGAGCCAGTCCCAAAACTCAGAGACCTGTGTAGATCTCAAATGCTGCCCTTCCACAGTCCTGGCACCTGGTTTTGTGCTTACCAGCTTGGGGGACATTTCAGAGACCATGGGAAAGTTCTGTGTGGAACGAAGGAGTGGACTGTGCCTTCCTTTACTGTCCGTCCCATTCTTTCCCCCTTGGTTTTAGGTACCACAGATGGGAAGTCTAAGTGGATCATCTTTGTCCATTCTGCCCCATGAGTGGTCACTGTTCCAGAAGCCATTTCCAGCCACAGATGAAGTGGAATTGGCTTGGAGGATCTGACTGACCTCCAAATATTAGCTCCTTCCCCCAAACCCAAGCATGTCATTGGTACCTCAAGTGCCTATCATTATAGGCATTGGCTTTGAATTAACCCATCTTGTTTCAAGCATTTCTTTTCTTTGTCTTAGGGGTAGAATCACATCTCTCCTGAAGCACCTTGGTTCTAGCTCTCATCATTTTCATCTTAGGGAAATCATCTGGCCACTCCCTGCCCCAGCCTGTTGACGAGGAAGTCTATCTTGGTTAGGAATACAGTCCAGGCTTCCTGGACCTCAGTCTGCAACTGCTCTGCCCTCTACCTCCTGCCTCTTCCAAGTAGGCTCTCCTTTGTTTTTGTTTGTTTGCTTAAAAGCAAATTCAGAGCTTAAGATAAAGGCCTTAAATAACACTGTATGCCTTTCCCTTTCTAGGGATTTTCATAGGAATCAGAGGAGTGAATCTCATGAGTACACTCTAACATCAAGCCCTGTCTCCGGTCTTCCTGCTCTATCTGCTCCAGGGTACTAAAACACTGGCCTGCCCCACCAGTACCTTCAGGGCCTGTGCTTCCTTCTGCAAACCCGGGTGGCCTTTGTCTGCTTTTGACAGATTGGTTTCAGTCCCAGAAGTCCTAGCAAGTCTAGGGGAGAGGCAAAATTCTAAGGATGATTCTTGGCTCCTTACCGAGGCATTACCCATAAATCTGAATCTCACTGTACAAGGTCAGAGAGCTGGGTTTTCTCCCGAGCCACCATCCTTGAGTCTACAGCCCCAAGAAGAAAGAAAACCTAGAGAATGCCATCTAGACCCGTCTTAGGTGCCTTTCTTACACTGGCAGAGTGTTTCCTTGAACTTAGATTTTCATGGCGCCAGAAAGGTGAGGGACTGACCCTTTGCCCTTCCATATATCACAGTACTGGTGACTTGAAGCCTTGCAGCTGTCGGTGCAGGGTGGGGAGTGGAGGCTGGAGGCCCAGCAGAGGTTGGCTTCCCTCCCTCACAGAGATGCTCCCACGCAGCTGTCTGGTCAGGGATCCTGTCCCAGGGCCCCCTTGCCACACTTAGAGATTGCTTTTTCCTTTCCAAACTGGATCTGGGGTGACATGGCAAAGAAGGGAAAAGTCTTTCTGTTGTTTAAATTCTTCCTGAGTTACAAATCCTGCAGAATTCCTGTGGTAGGTTTAAATGGTAACAAAGAAGCTTCAGGTTTTGTCTGCCTTTGGCTGGGAGAAAAGATGAAAGATTAGAAACTTCCCACCTGTGCTGATCTCGTGGCCATAGGAAAGGCACAGTAGGGAACTCTGAAAGGGCACAGAGTTGAGAGACAGTGTGACCCATGAGGGGCAGTAGGAAGGGAGTAGCTTTTTCTTTCTGGATTTATAAAAAAGTTCAGGATTGAAGATAGCAATTTGGGAGGATTCTGACATCAGGAATTATTTGAAACCTTGAATTTCATGCATGGGGAATACAGAGATTATCTAAAATCAAAGAGCAGAAGCCAGATATGAGGATCCTAAATCTTAAAATTTCATGTGACCCTTTGTCAGCCTGGTCTTCTTGAAAATGGCATTCTTTGGAAGTAAATGTGGTCTCCCCTAGGGTCTCTTCAGAGATAGGTTCTCAAGGTCCATGATCCATCTCTCTGTGATGAGATATATTTAACTGTAAGTTTCCAAGTTGGTGGGCCCCATTACATAGGAGGTCATGGTCTTCAAAAGAAAAAGACGCATCTGAGAGGCTTTCCTAAGCAAGCCCTGTACATCTTTACTGAAAGTTAGAGCACAGCTGCCAGTATCTGGCCCTGTCCAGTTCACTCTCACTCAGATCCTTAGACATAAAGAAGTAAGTTTCAGGCATTTACTTTAAAAAGGAGCATCTCAAAGTGGACAAGCTGAAACTGGAAGAAATCTCTCTGTTCAGTTTGAGTTTCACTGAAAGCTCAGCCAGGAGCTAACCCAGTTCATTAACTGGGGAAAAGGCACGTTCTAAAATATGAAGATACTAAGGCAGAAATGTGTTCTAGAAATCATACACTCTAGATTGGCGTAGCTTCCATTTTTGTTGTCCATGGATGGCATTAAAAATCCATTTAAAATAGTTAATGTGATTCTATTTACCACATGCCAAACTCCCTTCTTAGAAAAACATGGTTTTTCTTGTCCTTCTGGAACTCTGAGATACCGCCTTAGGATTGTTTAATTTTATAGGATCATTTTTATCTCATGATTCTTCTTTTTGTTTTTGTTTTTAATTAACATTTGAAAACCATTTTTTTCCCTCCACTGTTGAAATCTAAGACCTGAAAAGTAGTCTGCAAATGGCATCACGTCAAAGTGAGATGGGTGATTTTTTTTTTTTTTTTTTCCTAATGGTCTCATCTCTGCTATGTTACATTGTCGCATGATGCACAGGATTGTCCCCTGGGCCCTGTCTGGCTCCAGGTTCTCCTGGACACTGTTCACTGTGTGTGTGTGAGGTGGTGCTGGGTGGGGCAGGTGGAAAAGGCTGAGGGGCTTGAGCCCCTCCCTGCCAGGGCCCCCCTGCCAGGGTTCACACTGTGTAGCAGAAGAATAAGCTGTGTGAGTCCGCTGAGGCCAAGTATTGTTGAATGCAGAAAGCAATGGCTTTCTCTTCTTGATGATTTGAATATTTTGACAATGAAGCCAAGCTACTCTACTGCCTGGCTTGTGTACCTCAGTTTCTGTAAGCCCCTTCCTGGGCAGCAAAAGCGAGCGCCCTGCTCTCTGAATATATAAATCAGTATTGTCCACCGGGGAGATAGGCAGACTCAATGAAGAATCATCCAGACTAATTTTATTCTCTTGCTTTCATGTGTTTTAAATCTCTTGAAAAAAAAATTGTGAACATAAGCCTCTGGGGACCACCCAATTAAATGCCCACCATCAGGGTGGAGCATTTTGAGCTGAGGTGAACCACTTCCGTGGTCTGTTTATGCAAACAGAGTGAGGACCAGATGAAAACAAACAGATTCAGACAGATACATGGTCACCTCCATGCTTTTCTGGACTGCGTTTGATTGTTTTAAAACCTGTCGAAGGAAAGCTGCAATTTTTCAATTTTTAACATACAAGGATGTTTGTATACAAAACAGACATAGCCTTTTTTGATCAAATTAAGAGAACAGGCTGTCAAGTGAATAAACTGCTTAAATGAGATAGAATTGGCTTTTACGATCAATTGGTTTCATACTGGTTAAGAAAATTCTGAGGCATTCTCTCTACCCCTCCAAGAAAATCAATTTGGCAGAATAGTTGTAGAATGAATTGACGAACAGGGATATGGGTTTCTAAATGTGTGTCAGTGTTTAGTGGTACAAAGTTGACGTGAGGCCCAGGCTCCTGAGGACTACAGAAAAACATCAGTTTTCAGGGTTCCAGTCATGCTGTTTTAGTCTGTGCTGATTTGTGAAGTGGCCTTGGAATATGTTATTTTTAAAAAAAAAAATCCCATCTAATTCTAATGCATAGTCAGGTTTAGCACCCACTTAACTGCATATTCAATTTAGAGATGTCATCTTTTTTGTACTGCAAATCTATATGCTTACATAAGGTTTCTGCTGAAAATGCATGCCACCCAGTTACGGCTTTATTTCGATTCATAATTTGTTTCAGGTTCTGTTACTGCATAGATTTGCATACCTGTTTTACGGCATTTTAATATTGTTGTTTTAAAAGAAACACCATTTCCTCCGAGTGCTGTTTTGCATATTTTATGTAAGCAATTTCATATGTTTTTTCTTCTACTTACAGAGAGCAGGGGAAGACCTCAGAGTTCTAATCCAGTTGCATGTAGGACAAAGGATATACTTTAAATAAAGATTATTTATTAAGATGCTTGAGAACGCAGTAGGGAATCTCATTTATAAACACATCGGGGGAGCATGTACTTAAAAAAGAAGGTTCAGGTGGTAGAATCCTGGGAGAATGTTCCTCTAGCTTCATTCCCTGACAATGTCCAAGGTCTCTTCTCACAGGTTTGAGTCTTCAGACGGACTGCTAGAGGACTCTACACCTGCCTCTCAGCTGGCTTTCCTGTTCACGAAGAGGGTATGAAAGTTTAGAAATTGTTTTTATCTGGACATATTTGAAAAGAATTGTTTGGGCTAGCTCCGTGTGGTGGCACATGTGCCTTTAATCCCTGCACTTGGGAAGAAGAGGCCAGTGAATCTCTGTAAGTACAAAGCCAACCTGGTGCATTTGGGAGTTCCAAGACAGCTAGGGATACATCGTCTCAAAAAACTAAGTTGCTTAGAAGCACATGGCAAACTCAGGGATGCAAGAATGTGATAGAGGTCCAAGGTACTTCAGGAAAATTGTAGTAGAGCCCGCCCACATGCATTTCTCCCCCATTTTCCTCTTAAACGATAAAACACTTTAGGATTCTTTTGTAAAAGCATGAATATACTCTACATCTTAGCGACTCTGTTGATGCAATTAGCAACTTTCCAAGTCTCCTCTTCCAGCTTCTTTACCCTGTCTGCAGCCCCAACCATACCTTGCATGTCTGTGGCATTATCTGCTGTCAGTTCATAACAGTTCAAAAAACTGTAGGCTGCCTCTGATGACAGACCTATATATTTGAACATATGTCAAGGTGTTCTTCCCTTGTGGAAGAGGATGAGCTATAAACCCATAGAGGCTGCTGCACTTAGCTTCGCCAGGGAACCCTCTGCCCATTTTGGGATTGATCTGGAAACAGTGGTAAAAACTATTGGTCTCTGCTTAGCCAGGCAGCTTGCCTGGATAGAAATAGAAGGGCACGGGGCTTAGCTAATGACAGCTAGAGCTCCTCTGTACTACTGCAGGAAGTTACTCCTTTCCAGACACCAGGTACCAGGCATGTTCTCAGCACAGTAGCCCACTAGTAAGGATAGTGAAATTTAATTCATTGATTATCAAATGAAGTCACTGATGCCTCTCTATCTTTATGGTGGAACTATGAGTAAGAAGTGAACTGAATACCGTGAGAAGGCTTTATATGAGCTCAACCAAAATACTACAGTATTGCTTTAAGTATTATTTTGATTTCTATGGAAAGACAACTGTTACTAAATGACAGTTTGATTAATTAACCAAGAAATTGAAATTCATACCAAGAGGGTCAGCATTATCTGCCAAGAATGGATCAAGCCTCCAGGGAGTTGTAATTAGTCTGGGGAGGCTAGAGAAGAGGAATCTTGACTCTCGTCTTCCATTTATAGTGGACATGACTTTAGAGGACAGAGTGTATGATAACCAAGGAGCTCTGGAATATGTCGCCCAGGCTTCGGGTGAGAGCCCACAGGCTGAGGAAAGGAAAGGGCTAACCTGGCAGTAGACATCTGTCTTAAGGGGCTCAAGGGGACAGGCCCAAGCAGGATGTGTACCAAAGTGGGGGAGGCAGAGAGAGGCCTGGAGGAGGCTGTAGACTCGTGTGTGTGTGTGTGTGTGTGTGTGTGTGTGTGTGTGTGTGTTGTGTGTGTGTGTGTGCACGCGCGCGCGCGTGCCTCAGTGGGAAGCTGGCTTTACTGAGCAAGGTGCCTGTCCTGTAGGAGGCTCTGGGCTCAGAAGGGCAGATGGAGCCTGCTGTGTTGGGGGAGGGACCACACATGTGGATTGCAGGGGCAGCTACTTAGCGAGTTCACATTCCTCCCTGTCTCCCGTTGGACTGAGCATGATTGTGATGGTCTGTTACACAGACAAAGACCTAAAGCTGTGAATGGGGGAGGAAAGACACACAAGGTTAAGAAAAAGAGGAGGCCTGCCTAGTTAGTGTTCCTCTCAAGCTTTCTTCCCCAGTCCCTAACATTCCTTTCCCCCTTTCAGAGAAGCCCATGCAGATGCTTAGAAATGTTGCCTTCTTTCTTTACTGTCACTTTCTTTCAAAGCACAAACCCAATAAAATGTTTACCAGCATTAAGGAAAAAAAAAAGACTCAGAACTGTAAAGGCTCAATGATTAAATACTTTTACACTTCACATTTATCTTTCTACATGAACAGTTTTCTTGGCAGATACAGAAAGTTCGCTTTTTCATATCACAGATTCTAAGTTCTGGATAGCCATCCATTGACAAGTTTGTTTGTTTGTTTGTTGCTTGGTTTTTTAAATAATAGTGTATAAGTTCCTGGACTCAATCTTGTGCGGAAAAACTCATTAGGAGCTTCTGAGCAAGGCCTCACATTTTCTGTTCCTTTCAGATAGTCATGCAAGAGAGAGCAATGACTGATGGCCTCTCAGTTAGGCAGTCCACTGCTGCCTGGCCCTGACCTCCACTCCCTATGTGACAAGTCTGCTTTCCTATGCTTAAAGAGCCTCTCATCTAGACTTTCCCTCCATACCTTTCCTCTCCCCATGCATCCAGGCAGGCTGAACTATGGCTCCACATCACTCTTCCCTCCTGTCCCTCTGCTGTTCTTCATCTATAACACACAGCTCCTTGTTTTGTTCACCTAGCATCTCAACAGCCTCCTCAGAGACTGTCAGAACTTAGAGCAGCAAAATTTATACCTTCACGTCACCCAGACCTTCCTGCAGATACATGGGTGTCCACACTCTTGGTCCTTTCCTGTTTATGCAGAGAAACCACTATATGAGGCTGCACGACCCACCCAAGTCTTGAGTAATCCCTTCTGGACAGTATAGATTGTATATCTCTTCCGGAGAGTCTTAACTCATGGATCTAGTTTCCCCTTGTCATTGTAACTCAGATTGCTTTTGTTTTTCTCAATATTAACCTGTACCCTTTCACTTCCTAGAAAGAACCCAGGCCTTTTTTTTTTTTTTTTTTTTTGTCCCAGAAGTATGGTTTTGTTGGGACAACAGGCCATGCTGCTAATTGGTGTTCTGGTTAGCCATGCTTAGAGTCACAGGGAGGAGATCAGCTATCAGATATAGAAGCATGACTCTACAAAGGTCTAAAAGGCCAGTTGACAGGGATTTATAGGGAGGGTGGAGGGGATGTGTTCTCATTTGTCACAAAAGAATAGTCTCCACCCCTGACTTGGACAGTTGAGGATCTGCTGTTAATACCAAAGGCTTTTTTTGGGGGGGGGGCTGTGGGGGTCTGGACTGTTGGGCTGCTTATTGCATACCAGGCTGCCTAGTCTCCATCAAGAAACCGTCGACTTAAAACAAAGATGACCTATCCTAGGTTCAAAACCAGTCTGGGACTCAACACTTGTGTTTCTGTCTGCTGGGCTCTCTTGAGACATTTGTCTTCCCCCCCCCCCCGAATGTTCTATTTAAGAATTCAGTGTGTGATGGGGAGTGGAGAAGCAAGGGTCTGTAAAGATAGCTCTTTTCTTGCTTTCTCCCATTCCGCCTCCCTCACAGGGCTATGAAAATGGAGTCACCTCATCCCCTGAATTTACTCAATGGGAAGAGAAGGGGGTTGATGGTGGTGTTGGGGGAGGGAGGCTACAGACATTAGAAGAGGGTGCTTGTGTGTGGTGATAAGCCTTACACCCTGCCTACCAGAAGCATCTGGAGTGGTGTGGCTCCTTCCTTTGTGGTACTTTAAGGTTTATATACTTCTCATTACAGCTGAGATGGTTTTGTGGACATTCTTTACCTATTGTTCCCTCCTCTTCCTTTCTCCCTTCCTGTGTATAAAGTCGGTGATTAGTGTGGGCTGATAGTATCTTCAGGCCACCAAATAAAAACTTGATTAGTTTGTAAAGGTAGCACATAAAGTAGGCATTGTGACATTTTTGTGCATACTTTTGTTCTTACTAGTGTCCCCTCTCCATCCCCCCCCATTCCCTTCTCCCTCCTGCTGGTTCTCCCCAATCCAGTAGCCCCTCCTTTTGCTTCTCACCTCATTTGTATTCCATTATATTCTCTCTCTCTTCCCTTCCTCATCTCTTTTTTTTTTCCTTTCATGATCCACTTTCTGGTTGCTTAACCTGCATATATATACACACACATATACATGTGTACAAATTCAAATCCACGATTAGTGTGTGAGAGCTAAATAAACTGTAGCAAAGAAATTCCATCTGTGAAAAGTCTACTCTTTGCTAGTGGATGAGGCAGCCACAGATGGTCATTTTTAAGCCGTTTGGGTCTCCTTTATACTTCTACTATGCACAAGTAAGTTACTTAGGTGCATTTTACCAAGATTTTGTAAATAAGACTTAATTCTCATTTGCTCTGTTTTCTCATTATAGCCCACCCCTCATTGTCTTCCCCAGGAGGAAGCCAGGGAATTTATGGGCAGAGGCTTCTGTCTTTGGGGCACTGGGAATTTCAGGCCCCCACATGTCTGCTTCCCTCTCCTTCTACAGCCCTGAATAGATATCAAAGGGGAAGACAGAGTCTAGTTGCAGCCTGCCTTAAGGAAAACAAACTTCTCTGTGCCCCAGGGTTAATGAACTTCATCAGCCTACCTGGGGGAGAAGCATCATCAAGGTTGCTTTTGTGATGAGCTTTCTGACAGGATCTCAGACCACCCATAGAGAGTTGAGTCATTTCTAAAGTTGCCACATAAGCCTTGGTCCTCATAGCACCCACTTTTCCTGGAGCCATAGTATGGCAGAGGATGCCAGCAACTTAGTACTTAGTCACCTTGGCGTCCCGGGCACCATTTGAAAAACCTCCAGACCTAAACCAGAAAGATTAACTCCTATTCTTTGCTGGAGTATTCCTCTGGACCTTAGGGTTTCTTTACTGGCACCATGTGCTGTTTTTACTAGTCTAGGCACTAACCTGAGAAGCCTGCTAACAAAGCATCACTGAAGCCTGTTCTCCCCTCCTTCCCGTTCTGTCTTTAGATGCAGGATAGAAACCTAAATGGTCTCTCTCTATCTCTGGTCCCTCCAGCTACTTTCTCTTAGACCTTATTACGAGTAGACGTGAGTAGAGGGTCATAAAACAAAACAAAACAAAACTATAAGAAGCCTTGTATACTTAAGGATGGGGGGTATCAACACAGGCCTCGCTGCCCAGCAACTCAATTGGACCCTTGTGGACTCACTTGTCCTTGACATTGGTGGAGTTTCAGGAGTAGAGAGTAACTTTCCTGAATCAGTCCACATCTCAAACTCCACTGTGTTCACACTGTGAACA